CCACATCATTTAGTGACAGCAATCCCTGCAGTCCCAATTGCTGTTGTTAACTAAACTGCCCAACTCCCTACTGGCTTCCCACAACCAAAGTCAGTGGGGAAGCCAGCAGGAAGTTGCAAGTGTCAGGCAGCTGGCAAGCAGGCAGCAAGACTTGGGGTGGCTGCTGCCAGGTGGGGGAGGGTGCACTAGGGGCTGGTGCAGCATAAGCACAGCAAGGCTTGGGATGGTTGCTGTTGGGTGGAGGAGGGAGCAAAGGGGTATGCAGGGGTGTGGGGGAGACTTGGCGAGGCTCGGGGAGGGCACGGGGTGCACGAGTGGTGGGGGAGTTGTGGCGAGGCTCAGGGAGGGTGCACAGAGGATACAAAACAGTATCATCATGGGAACATAAATTGCTTAGTCTTTCAGGAAAGAGATGATTGGGTGATTTTTTAAAACAAAGAAGCAAAAGAAATTTGAGACAGACCATGTGATTACAGAAAGGAGACATTAGAGGGGACTAAAGATTCCAAGCAGAGGGGAGGGGGGGGGGAAAACCTGTTTTCTACTTTTGAATATGATGACCAGCAGTGAAACTTGCAAAAATGACAGATAAAGGAATTACTTTAGAGACATTTCAAAAGATTTTTGAAGAAATGGGAAAGAAACTCACAGCTACAGTGACAACAACAACATCTCATGCAAAAGCACTATTCAGCAGAGATTTTAAAGAAGAAATGAAAGATACGAAGGGGAATAATTTGGAAGAATATATAGATTGACAGGATTAAGAGGTAAAAGAAATCCCAGTTTATATAGAAATACTGAAAAATAAAATAGAGTTGTCCAAAAAGTTGTGGACTGTAAGGCAGAGATGAAAACTAAAGTGAAAATACAAATGATAAGCCAAGAGATTAAAAAATGACCTGGTTAATGACTTATTATTGGATTTACAAAAGAGGGCTGTTAAAAGCCGTGAAGAAACTCCCAAAATAGGAGAAAGAAAATTTGGATGGAGATCAAATCCTACAACAGCATCTTAATGCAGCAAAGATTAAGAATGTTAGGAGCAAAAGAAAGGAATATAAAGACCTATTGGATCAGGTTTAAAACAAATACTTTTATAAACCCTTTATGGATCTTTTGTTGATACTGGACAGAAACGTTAACAATTTTTGGATTTGTGGATGGATAAGGGTTGAGATATGGGAAGAAGTGATTTATGTAATGTAAAAGCAAAGGGGGTAGAAAAATACTAAGTTTGCTCGAACTTGTCGTGAAGTATAGAATTTTCATTATCTCAATGTTTTGAACATACAAGCGAATAATGAAAAGCTTAGCATCTTAAGTGGAACTTTCCAAAACAGAACAGTTAGTTAAAAAAACCTCTCAGACTTACCACAAACTGAACAACTATATGGCTTTTCTCCTGTGTGTCTGATCCTGTGTTTTACTAATTTCCGTGGTAAGTTAAATGACTTTCCACACTCGTCACACGTGAATACTTTTTCTACTGCATGGTTCTTCTTGTGTTCCTTTAAATTACTGAAGTTACTAAATCCTAAATACAAAAGAATTTGGATCAAAATGATCATTCACAGGTAAAGAAAATTATAAAAGGGCCCCACTGCCTATCTAATTCTTTCCCCACACAATGCCAGATATCGCAGCCTAGGCCAAAGTTATGACATGAGTGTGTGAGAGAAAACATGGATGAAACATCCTGCAACTAACTCCTAACAACTCCTAACAGAGAATAAGAGTGGCTTGTAACATGTTGTCTCCTGCTGTTTCTAGCCACAGCCACCTTGCCGCTTTTGCAACACCAGCAAGATCATGCCGCCACCCAAATTAAGTTATGGTTGGGGAGGGGCACATGCTGGAATTATAGCTTTGCTTGCTAATCTGGGGAAGCTTAACCTGACGTACCTCGACCACAAATATCACACAGATGTGGTTTTTCTCCAGAGTGAATAATAATGTGGCGCTGGACATCTCCAGATGCAGCAAACCTGTAATACCATTGTGAAAGCCATTGTAAATGTTCTAATAAACATTTTCTCTATTGAGCTTTAATTCTTATATTTAAAACACTCTATATGATCAATTAAACATATATTCCTGGCACGTAGCCCTTTCATGGCCCTGTAGCACCCATTTCTTCCAAATCCCCTAGGAAGATGCCCACCATCACTGCAATAGTTTCTCTGATTCCGTGAATCACAAACACTTTCCATAACTCCAGCTATATAGATGCCTACGATGTTATGCCTAGTTTAGCGCCCTTCTAAACCTGACTACATAGTTCAATGTATGAATTAGACCTACTTGTTGCAGTACTAGGTAATTATAATAAAGCATTTTAAAAGGCAAGATGGCTGAAAGACAAACACAATCTAATGCTTTATGTTGACAAAAGTGTCCTTTATCGTAAAAACTCAGGAATGTGTTTCACATCCACATTAAAATGTTTCTCTACATCTATATCAAATATATTAACATGTTATTTATATCTCTAATTTCCTATTCAGCCAACATAATACACACAATAAACTAGACAGCAGGAAGTCATGCTTACAGTAAAGAGCTAAAAAGGAAAAAAAAGAAAAAACGGAACCTGTCCTACATTGTTTACAATATGCAAAATAATTAAATTGAACTGGTAACTGGTTAAAAATAGATTAACAGAAGATTTATGATTCTTCAGTCAATGGGTAGGTTTAGAATTAAAAGACTTTTTGCTCTGGGATAAATCTTATTTTAGGAAAGCATATTAAAAACAATTGCAATGAGCTGAAGGGTGAGGGGTGACCTACAAATCGGGTCTCACACAGCCTTTTGTTTGTCATTTCTCACTTAGTACAGCTGTTCTGGCCACTGTTTCATTTGCTCTTGAGCTTCTATTGTGATGCTGATTTGGCTACTGGTATACCACCCAGGCCTAGCTAAAATTTAGGTAGGCCAGTTAGCAATTCTTCAGGGATAAGTATTTTAATACTGCCCAGAATAGTTTTGCCCAGTATGAGATATATTTAGATATATGTCCTCCTCCAGTTCATAGTTTGCAGGTGCTCCTCCTCTTTCTCGTTAAAATGGATTTCTTGGTTTCCTTAAACCATAGTCTGTTATGACTGTGTAAGTATGGTTTGTGCAATCCTTCTAAAACAAGGAATTGGATCCTAGTTTGCATTCTTGCATTTTCAATCTAGTTTGAAGAAATTTAAGAGACCCAGAACCCTGATATTTAGGTATATTAGTAAATGGATCTTCTGTGTAATGTTGTCTTAGAGGACAGCGAGTAGGATATCTGTATATGACTAATACAATATACAGTATATGCATATAGTATGTATGAGTTTCACAGACATACAAACCTTTTCCCACAGATTTCACAAATGTAAGGTTTTTCACCGGAATGCCGACGCAAATGAGTCTGAAGATTACCTGCCTACAAAGATAAGGAAATGCCTTTAACAAAATTAAATTAACCAGAGAAGTTATGTTTACAGTTGGAAATGAAGATCTTCAAGTTGTTCCTTGAAGCATAAACCCTTTTTCAGTACTTGGAATCTTATTTGTATCTCTCTAGGCCTATGAAGACTTCATTCCCTACCAGCAGCTGGGCTGAACACAAAGACCCCCAAAGGCAGATGCTTCCATTTGGAGGCGCGACCCTTCTCCTAGCAGCAAGAGGTTTCCTGTATTAGAACCAGGCTACTTAAAGTAGGAGAGGGTGATTTCAGTTGTGCAGAAAGATCTATCACAATGTCTTGTTTGTTTCTGATTCTGCTGTGCTTTAGGCAGGATGGATCAGAAGAGACTTCTCAGGCACAGGACTTCCTGGAGATCCTTTCATCATGGCTTTGGAGGAGGAACGGGTAACTCCAGAACAAGGAGGCAACAGTGCTATTGTATCAGTGCTCAAAGTTCTGCATCCAAGCCTACATTGTTGCCCAAGGCAGAACAGACTTTAGGATGGATAGGTAAGCTTAACACTGCACTCCCCAAAACAAAAGGTCTGCATGGATTACCTGGCTGCCTTTGTTGCAGACTTCTAATGAAAAATACAGTTTGACATGATTATTCGACATTATTATTAAATAAGCACAATGCAATATACACGTTGTTTAACGTATACCCAATTAGAAATCTGGAAACAAAATCAATGGCAGGACAAATAATTAGGGATTAGGAATTCATTCTATCGTAAGCTATACTTCTACAATCCAGGACTTTTTTCATGTCTGAAAATGGTAAATGACCATAAGAAATTCTAAAACTAACTTCAAGAAAGATAGGATTCCTTAGCAGCACCAACTATAAAGAACATGCTTCATTTCTTTTTCTGGTGAAAAACATTTCTTAAAATTGTTTATCCCATTCTGTAATTCTTGTAGAATTGCAATAAAATGATACTGCATATTGCCCATTCAATAGAAAGGGACTGGGTAGCGTATAAACAAAAATACACTTAAATACAAAAGAATATTATATAAAATATTGAAATTCCTACCTGTGAGAAACATTTCCCACAAATGTTACATTCAAATGGCTTCTCACCTAAAAGAAGAAGCAATTATGTCTGCACTTCTGACAGCTACAACTAAGCAACCTTGAAATTTGCATTAAAAAGGGAACAGTTGCCTTCAAGTTATCTTGAGTTTTCTTTACAAAGGAAAAATATAGCCCCACATTTTATTGTTATTAATAAAATACTCAAGATGATGTTTATATTCTACATAACTTATATTCACAATTTTCCTTAACACACAGATCAATACTATTTTGTTTTAATAAGACTTCATGAGAAATTAGATTAATTGCACGTTATCCTATTATGTTTACTCAGAAGGAAGTCACACAAAGTTTAATAGAACTTGTTAATGAGCAAGTGAACACAAAATCATTATTTTGAACTTTTGCACTATTAAGCTGGGATTTTCAAATAAATTGCAGAGATCCTAAATAAACTTCTAGCCAGTGGAATAAACAGATTCTATAAACATTTTAACATCACTATGACATAGTAAGATCATAATGTCAGAGACAAAGAAAAAAAATACAACTGCTTTTTACAAACCATTTCTTTTCCCTTCCGAGTGTCTATAAATGGTATGGTATAAATTTTATATACCATTATATAGTTGCCACTATATATGGCAAAGAATAACTTTTTTATGCAAAAAGTTGTATCAGGGAATCCAGACTATAATTTCTTTAGAAATTGTATGATTGGCCCTTATCAGAAAAACTATTTGCATACCTTTACTGGAAAAAACCGAATGCTTAAGCACATCCACATGGATGAAGATTATTTGATGAGGATCATGAAATCTGATTACCACATGATGGACTTGCATTATAATCATTGCACCCAGTGCCATTAATGTCTTTTCAGCTGGGAAGGCTACATTCTAGCTGTTTTTCCATGTGGTCATTAAATAGCTGGCCTGCAATGTTAATTGATTGTACCTGTATGAGACCGTATGTGGAGCTCCAGATTGCTTGGATGTTTAAAAGCTTTTCCACATAGCACACAAGGATACTGCCTCTCGGGAAGGAAAACCTGCAACTGGCTACCTGGCTCAGAAGGTTCCTGAGACGGCTCCAACTCAACATGCTCCCCTGAACTAACTAGACATTTAGCCTGCCCTCCTTCAGAAGCAACTGCATTTGTCCTTTCTAAATCAGTTTCCCTTGCAATGCCGCTATCAGTATCAAGTTCAGAAGATTGTTCAAGAGTCTTTTGGGACCGCAGCAAATTCAATTTTTGAAGATGTATAGCCTTTTTAAGCCTCAACTGTATGGCTGGCTGTACAGATGTGCCCTCTATATCTTGATCCTCAGGACTATCATTTAAGGACTGAACAAGAAAGGGTGGTGGCAGGTGATCAGAAGATTCCAAAGTACATTCAGAGTGACTGATGTTGCATGAAGCATTCTGAACTGTGTCTTGTGCTGGAGATATAATGAAATCAGAGGGCAGTTCTGGTGATCTCTTGTTGCTCGGACAAATACTTGGTTTGCAGAACTGTTTGCTATAAAAGTTACGGAGCTTATAATGGCAATTTGGATGTTTAAATGAGAGATCCGCCCCACCAAAATCCATGGAATCTTGTTTCTGTTTGTTTGCATCAGATGATAAGCTATGAAGTTCACAAGGCTGTGACTCATGTAGGTGATCATCCAAGACTTTACAAGACTGCACAGCAGTTGAACAAACGTGGAGTAAATTAGTATCATAATGTTCACAACTGGTATTAGCAGCCAAAGTATTTTGCAATGAAAATGTATGATTGTTACAGGTCAGACTGGCTGGCTGCTCTACAGATCTGGAGGCTTTTAAAAAGGAGTGACACATATTCAAAATATTCTGCACTTGCAGACACTGTGCAATATCCAGCAAGGTTCGTACATTGTCCTGGTTGAGGTCAAGATGTGAAGTATACATATAATCCAAGATCTGGCCTATGCCACCAACATTCTTAATATCCAAATGAAAAACATCATTCTTCTGGCTTGGAGAATTTTGAAACAGGGTCCTAGGAAAGAAAAACCAGAGTTAGGGAGAAGGTGCAAAGGTGCAAATCTGCTTATCTTCAAACCCCCTTTATAACATTAACACAAAATCGCACATATTCATCAATATGTTTCTAAAAATCTTGCTCACAATCTGGCTATACAATACAAACATTGCACAACAATACTGTTGAAAGCAGCAGTATTTTTTACAGTGAAAATATATATTGGAAATTGTAGTTTCAGCCTATGACACAATTTCAGTCTATGACATTAACTGGTGAGAAAACATTTAAAGATCATATTTTAATCCTCCTATATAATTTCCATTTTCAGAGAGCACACATTCAATAAAAGATTACAGGGTATCCTCAACTGAGTTTGTAGTACTGCTCAGTGCTGTGTTGCAGCAACACTGGTTAGAAACCACTGGATCTGAATATAAACTAAGTATATGTAACTTCTGCTCTGAACAGGACTTTTGTGTTTGATATTTTGCATTTTAACTTTTTTGCCTATACATAAATTAGCAATATGATTCATCTTAGAGAACTTACAGAACTAGGGTGGGTATACACTGTTAATAAATGCATTTGTAACCCTTCAAGTTACTTCATAAATTAAAGCAAATTAAACTTGATACCACTAGATCTCAGAAAAAAGTTTGATGCATAAAGGAATTGGGGTTTTAGATTCCTTTGCTTATTTGGTATAAGCATTTCTAGAACACTTTCTCTATTATGTACACTGTCTTCAGTTATACAAAAGAAGGATGGGCTATAATGAGAAATTTGTTTACTTAATAATTATTTATTCATTTAAAGAACTTATATGGCACGGTGATCCTAGATGACAACCAATAAAAACACAATATAAAAACAGACCACACCATTCCCACCAGATGCCGGACCAACCATACTATTGACCTCCTGATTCAACCCCATCTTAGCCCAATGCTTGGGGAAGAGCTTCTGGAAGGCTAAAAGGGTAAGGGCCCCCCAAATCTCAGGTGGGAGGCTATTCCAAAGGGCCAGGGCAGCAATACAGGAGTGCCTCAAAGGTCCCATCAGATGGCATTTGAGGAAAGGGACCTGGAGTGTGCCAACCCTATCTGATCTAGTGGGACTGGCAGATATTCTTGGGGAGAGGCAGTGCTGCAAGTAACCTAGCTCTGTGCCATGCAGGGCTTTAAAGCTGATAACCAGCACCTTGAATTGCACCCAGAAAGCAACTAGGAGCCAGTGAGCTCACGCAACAGGGGTATAACATGGGTGAACTGTGGAGTGCCCAGAACTGCGTGCGCTGCTGCATTATGGACCAGTTGCAACTTCCAGAAGGTCTTCAAGGGCAGCTTCATGTAAAACACATTGCAATAATCCAATCAGGAAGTGATTAAGGCATGAGTGACTGTGAGCAAGGTCTCCTGGTCCAGGAATGCATACAACTGGTGTACAAGATGGATTTGTGCAAAGCCCCCCTGGCCACAGCTGCCATCTGCTGTTCCAGCAGGAGTTGTGAGTCCAGGAAGACCTCCAAATTGTATACCAGTTCTATCCTGGAAAGTGCAAACCCATCCAAAGTCAAAGGTGTCATCTCTCCTGGCCCCAAGGGGCCAAAAACCCACAACCATAACCATTCCATCTTGCTAGGGTTGAGTCGCAACTGGTTTTTCCCCACCCAGGCCCTTACAGCCTCCAGGCACCAAGCAAGCATCTGAACAGCATCACTTGCCCAGCATGGGGTAAAGATGCATAATTGGGTATCATCAACATACCAGTGGTATCAAACCCCATGCTGCCGAATAATACCTCCTGCCAATTCAACCAATAGGGCACCATGTTCACTGACCCTTTAATTGCCTCTGCCATTTAGGTCAAATCGTGTTGCCCTGCCCAATTCATAAATCACAAAATTAGAAGGTTAAAAGACTTCCAATGAAGTTCATAGCAGACTAAGATGTCTCCAAAGCATAGACAGCGTTGTGGTGGTGACTGGCGGCCAGACGACAAACTCTGGCTGGCAGAGTCTCTCTGGATGAGACCAAGAGAACACCCACCTGCACTCCAGACAGCTGCTCCCCATCAGGAGACCGCAGGAATTGAATATTCTTGCAGTCAACTTGTGAGTTGAGCAGCCAGGAGATGAGAGAGAGACAGCATACTCACACCTGCAGCACAGCCTTTAAAGGATACTGGGTTTGCTCAAAGCCTAATTTTCTTAATCACTTTTGGAAACAATCAATTTACATTTAAAGAGAGATCTTCAGACAAAAAAACAAAAACAAAAACCCACTGTGTGTGTTAGCCTTCATTCCAGATCAAAGAAAGGAAAAAGGGAAACTGTCCCCTTTGTCCATTTATAATGTTCTTAGGTCAAAATCTTATTAAGCTTTTTGCTGTTAGTTTTAAATTCTTAAAATTATTAATGGACATAGGAGACAGTTTGAATTTAAAGGATTAACAGTGTGATGAAAGTGGTTTTGATATTACTTGGAAACAATTAGATGAACAGACCATACCTCTGTGGCAATATTGATTGTTTAATATCAAAGGGAAAGACAATTGGTGAATTTTACAAAACAAAGAGATAAATGTAATATGAGATAGACTGTGCAATCAGAACTACAGAGTGCCAGACTGGACTAAAGCCTTAAGGACATAGAAAAGGTAAAATCGGGGAGGAGGGGCAGGGGAAGAAGAAAAGACTACTTTTTGATTTTCACTTCTGTAACTGAGTCACTTTTGTTTTTGGATCACAAACAAGAATGGTAACTACTAGAAAGGCAGCAAAACTTGGTGAAGGCAGGAGAGGGTCATTGGAACAACCGACAGAAAAGGGGATCACTCCAGAGATATTGCAAAAATGTTTGAAAAGATGGGGAGGCAGGTATCTGAAGCTGTCAAATCTGTTAAAAGTGATCTGGCTGCATTTGAAGGGAGAATGGAAGAAAGATTTGTAAAGAGGAAAGAGGAAATGAAATAAGAAGTTAAAAAAAAATTGAAGAAATGGTAGGACAACTGACTGGAGAAGTAAAACAAATTAATGGAAAAGTGGAAATTTTAGAAAGTAAGACAGAAATAATAAATAGAGAGATGGAAAAGGACCTGGCTAATCTGGCAGAACATCTTTTTTTGGTGCTAGTTCTAGAAGG